TTTATTTAAGTAGACATCCAATTCTTTCAATGCTGCCAAGAATGATTCATGGTTTGATACTGATGTCGTAACCAACAAATGCGGAATTTTATTTGCTGCTTCTGTCGAAACACCAGTTCATTTAAAAATCATCTGGCACATACATATATCCTTTTAAAATAAAAATTGAAAATCATTTTAAGCAAGTATTATTATTTATACATTTTTTCTTAAACCACATATTACTGCATACCTGAAAATGAAACAAATGGTTGAATTGTGACACATTCTCTGTTTTCTCTTTACATTCTTTGACAAACATCCTCTTTGCCAGCATAAAATAATCCAGAATTGGTACCGTCAACCCCATAGTTAATAAATTTGGGTGTTTCATCACAATTAGTATCAACAATGCCATTCCAAACCCCTGCTTCAATTTTCTCTTCATTAACCATAACACCAACTTCTACTAGTTCTTTAGCAAGTGGATTTGATATATATTACAAAGAAATAAGTATATTTAAAAACGTAGAATGATACTTATTTATAAAAATTTTCAAACTGATACCTAAATGATTACATGTCATTTCCCTAAAACAATTCAGTGTACGGTTTATAGACACTCTTCCTTGTCGCTTGATGGTAAGACTGCTATATTTAACATTAAACCGAAGTCAAAATGATCGACTTAATCTATAAAAGAGGACCGTTATATAAAAATAATAGTCTGATTAAAAAAAGGGATATTTAAATATAAAGATGATTCATGTTACCCTATTTAGATTTGATAGGATCATTGTAAGTTTAATTATTTAGTTTCAACTACTTACTTTCCTTTTTCCAGTGCAGCTCGAGCATTTAATGATAATTTGTGAAACTTCCTTTTACCTTTTATCTTTGTATTAGTGTAATGTCTAATACGTAGCACATTTAGAAATAACTTGGTTACTTCCTGTTTATTAATTGCTTGTAAAGACCTGTTCTTATTTTTTATAAAACGAACAATACATGTCTCTTCATTTTCTGTAAGTATAGTACAATAACTTCTTTCTTGTCCATTAACCACTTTTCCATCTAATCGCCTGTTGATTGTCTCTCTATCTTTGATACGAGGAAACATACCAGTCTTTAATGCTGCTTGCCCCCCCCCCCCCATTCATTTCTTTGCACGAATTTATAGCAGCTTCTAGTTGCTTATTTTTTTCATTAGTTTTCTGGCAACTATGGCATCAGCTTTTCTGGCAACTGTTGCATCAGCCTTTGTACTAAGATTTATTACTTCGTTTATACGTAAATGTAACGGAGATGTTGGTTTCATTTTACTTACTATTAATAAATGCAATAAATATAATAAACGAAACTCTAAAATGGCGAAAAAACAAAAAAACATAACTCGCTTCAATGGCAGTATTTCCGCAATAAATTAAGATATATAATTAAACTTTTTTATGGATGATAAATAGAAACTATCTTTGAGTAAACTATATAAATATTTTATTAAATTATTTCAAATCTTTTCCATAATCATCAAAAAACCAACGTAGTTTTTGGGGTGCATATGATGTGGTTTTTGTAGTACATTTGAAGTATTCTATAAAATATAAGTTAGCAGTGATGCAATCATCCTAAGAGCAAATTATTGTAACAATCTTCTTCAAAAAATCAGTTTAAATTCTTAACAGTTAAGAAATTATAGCTAAATTAGTTAATGTGGTTTTTGGGGTGCATGGCGAAAAAAAGAGTCAACTTCAACATTCAAGCAAAAGAAAATAAGCGAGACATATTAAACCATACCTATCAGGAAGAACCCCATTTAAGTTTATCTTTCAATAGTAATAACTTAAAAAATATTATTTTTCTCAAGAAAAAAGTTCTAGGCTTTCCTACTTTCATGTGGTTTTTGGGGTGCAATCACCTGTAGCTTTTATGGCTTATTTTTTTGTAAATTTTAAATAGTCTTAAAGAATATAAATTTGGGGTAACATGGATTCAATTTTGGAAAGCTGGATTCTTTATAAGAAAAATTTTATTGGAGTCCAAAAACAATTTCAATTTTTAGAAATTAAAATAAAAAAATTTTATTTAAATTTTTATTTTTAATAGTAATTAATATCAGCCCTCTTTCTCCCCATGAACTATTAGACTGCAAGCCAAGTGTGTGTTTTTTTCTTCAAAATAGCCGACAAATCCTGAAAAACGGTAACTATTGAAAACTGACAGAAAAGAGTAAATTATAGGTTACTGGAATTTACGTTTTTGGCTAAAAACATTTAAATTGCTAATAACCAGTAATGTCATAGTACGGTTGATTGAAGCTGTCGAAAAGTAATAGGGGAAAACGGGACAAGATGGCGAACGTTTTGAAAGCCCTGATTTATTGCAAAACTATAAGTCAAGAAGTAATAAAACTTTACCAGTATGTTTATATTGCCATAATGATTAATTGCCTGCATGAATTTTCAGTTCGCAAGTAGAAAAATTTGAAATTAAAATTAAAATAAAATGTTCATAAATTTGTCATCTGATCACGTGACCAGGGCAAAATACTATGGAATTGCTGCCTCAAATTTTACAAAATTTTTAGAATTACCAACTACTCTAAATAAAGTAACACAAAATAAACATTGCAAAAAAAAAAAATGTGTCGCAAAAAAATAATCCTAAAAAAGTCACACTCAAAGGACACTATTTTTTATGGATAACCGAAACCGAAGTAATTTTTTTAAGCGCAAATAATAATAATAATAACAATAATAATAATTAGAGATTAAAGTGCCATTATTTACAACAATCACAATAGTGATGAATAATTCAAAAGCACTAAAAAAACGACGTTCAGACAGGCATGCTCACAGGGAACTCCAGTGAGCGCAATTTGCGTTCGAAGATTCGATGATTTACTGAATTCTGCAATTCACACTACTTATCGCAACTGGCTACGTTCTTAATTGATGCACGAGCCTAGAGATCTACCGTTAAAAGTAAAAACTTATGCGTATAAAATAACTTATGCGTATAAAATTGCATTAAGAACATTTAAAAAAACCAATTGGAGTTTTAAAATACAAGATATAAATGCAGTTTTGTTTTCACCCATTTAAATTTTTTTTTGTTGAGTTGTTATATGAAAAGCCATTTTGCCCCATTCCCCATCTTGCCCCGTTTTCCCCGACTCATGCCTCCAATAAAAGCTACTATATTTTATTTTCAATTAGTATGCTGTAAGAATAAATTTTAAATAAGTGATAACTTTGGACAAATTTTGAAGGCTTTACTCCCCAAACTAAAACTCAAACCGTTTTATTTATTTTTTATTTTTTACAGAGACTATTTGTTCTAACTTCTTCTTCGCTATAATAAAACTATATCAGCCTCATCATTACTCGACAAGGATTCCACAGTTTTAACTTGTTTTGAAACAGCGCATTAGAAAAATAGTCCTCACTTTTTTTTATATTAAAAATTAAACCATGACTTTAAACCATGACTTTAAACCATGACTTTAAACAACTTTATGAGCAAGAAAGAAGTTTCATATTTATCATTTGATTGTTCCTATTCAATTTTGTTATGATTTGTTACTATCTAAAATACATTTTAGAAATTAACATGAATAATATTGATATATATTTTAATACAACTTGCAACTTTCTGCAATTTTTAATTCGATTTTAAAAATTTAATTATTAAATCAATGTAATATAAATATATAAAATATAAATATATAAAAAAGGTATATTAAAAAAAAATAAAGGTTTGTTATTTAAAAGAAAAACTAAAAATTTACAAATGTCGTTTTTTTTTATAATAATTTTTTATAATAATTATTTTAACAATGTGACGTAATATTTAAACATTCTTTTATTTTTACATTTCAAATATTTTTGTTGCAAATGCTTACCGTTCAAGCTTTTGAAATTATATTATTATCAATTAAAAAAATTATTAATAATAATAAGAGTTATTAATAATAATAACAGTTAATATTAATAATAATAATAATAATAATAATAATAACAAAATCAACGGGCTCCTATGTAACTTAAAGTTGGCTCCCGTGTAACTCGAAACGGCTCCTATGTAACTGATTGGCTCCGAAGTAACATTTTTTTGGCTCCCATGTAACGTGCATTGGCTCCCATGTAACCCGCATTGGCTCCCGTGTAACTTGTATTGTTTTTAATTGGCTTGTTTCGGCACCGTAAACTTTCACTTTTATATATTTATATATTTTCAAAATGTCGGATTAAATTTTCGAAGTGATTTTAATATTTCAGAACAAATATTTCTGTAACATTTTTTCTTATTGCTTTTAATAAAAGTAGGATGTTTTAAATATAAAATGATGACTTAAATAACAAGATAGTATGACTTTGCCGCTCACTTAAAAAGTAGTTTTATTTATTTTAAGCAAGCATTGAGTTGTAGTATTTTGATTTGTATATATATATAAACAAATTTGTTACATTATTTCTACTATATATATATATATATATATATATATATATATATATATATATATATATATATATATATATATATATATATATATATTATATATATATATATATATATATATATAAATATATGTATATATATATATATATATATATATATATATATATATATATATATATATATATATATATATATATATATATATATATATATATATAGAAATATTAATACAACTTTGTTACATTATTCATTGTTTCTAATATATATATATATATATATATATATATATATATATATATATATATATATATATATATATATATATATATATATATATGTATATATATATATATATATATATATATATAATATATATATATATATATATATATATATATATATATATATATATATATATATATATATATATATATATATATATATAATAGTAGAAATAATGTAACAAAGTTGTATTAAACCCAGCTTTGTATTTCTATATTACATTAATAACAAAACATAATTATATTAGTTAAATTAGGTTTTAAAATATTTTTTCTTAAATTTAGCATAATCAGTTATAAAATATGAGTCTTCGGAAATCATTGCGCTCAAGCTCAAGCTTTATTTCTCCAGAAAATGTTGCAAGATATTTTTGTCAAAAAAAGATTGACCCTGATTTTCTTGTAAAAAAGTTTATCAATAGTGCTATTGGTGAGAGATTTTTTTAAAAACTTTTAGAGTTATCCAAGAGGAGGAGTGCATTTTAAGATTAAAATAAATTAAAATGCATTTTAAGTGTGAATCGAATGACTTTTTTGATTAAGTTTTTAAACTATTTTTTAAAGATTAAAACTCCTTTATTTCAATATCTAGTCTATAATACTAGTTTATTTAGTATTATATATAATGCTAAATAAATTAGAATTTTAAATATAGTTTGTAATGAACTTATTATAATGAAAATGTTGGCAATAGTTTATAATATTCTACTGCATTTTTATAAAAAAAAAAGTTTTTCTCTTCAGTTAACAAGATGTTCACTGGTTTACTATAAATCAATAACTCATTATAAGAATTAATCATAGCTCATTGAGTCACACCATCGCTTTTTAAATTTAAAATTGTTCACTCCTGTTTAAGATATGTTTATCAGAAAAACAAGAACTTGTTAAATAGTTTAAACAAAACCTAGAAATGCATATATGGCTGGGAGAAATATTCTTTTTGTAATAAATTTAATAGTTTCTTCATAGCTTTTTAATTAGCTTGTTGCTAGTAGTTGTAATGTTATTCTGATAACTGTGTTAATTGTTTTTAATCGGGTGACTTCTATTTTTTAGTTTAGTTATGCATTTCTTTTTATACTTTATATAATTTGATACTACTATACTGTATATAACTTAATTACATAACTATATTATTAATAAGGGATAAAAGCTAAGGTAGTTTAAAAAGTTGAGTTTATTTTGTAAAAAAACATTGAAAATGGAGCAACTAGCAAATAAATTTCTTTCATTCAATCATTTATTATATTTTTTCTAAAATTGATTTGATAATGCAATGGTTTAATGTTATGGTTGCCCTGCACTGTGAGAGGATAGTCCTTCTTAAGCAAACGACTTAAATTTGTAAAAAAATACCAGTCAATCATCAGTTACAAAAGAGTATTTTATGAAAAAACCAAGAATATTTGTTGTGATAATTTTTTACAAAATCTTCAAAAAGCATTTAAAATGTTGCAGTATATAATTTTACTAAATATAATTAAAGAAAATCATAAAATTAAAATTCCACACGCACATGATTCAAAATGCTGCTAATTTTAAATATGACATACAAATGGTTAAATATAAATAGACGTGGCAATGTTTTTAATTCTATAAAGTATTTTAAATGAAATTAGAGTTGTTTCATTTAGTTAAAACTTGAAATCAAAGATGAATCACAGAATAAATAATTATTTTTCTGATATCTCTTTGAAACTAATATAATTATTTTTAATAGTGATTTATTTATTGCTTTGAAAATTTTTTTTGAATAGAGTATTCACAAAAAGCTTGCATAGTTTTAATGAAAAACAACAGAATGTTTTTGATCAAAACTTATCTTCAAATGACTTTAAAAATTATTTTTTAGGTTTCGGAGTATTTGTAACGAAAGATGTATTACCAGGAGAGTTTTTGTGTGAATATGATGGTGTTTTGTTGGAAAAAGAACCTAATAATAGTGAATCAAATAACTATTTGTTTTCAAACATCATTCATTGTGGAAAAAAGTTTTAGTAAGTTGATTTAATAGTTTTTTTAAAAAATCACTTATAATCAATAAATTTATATATATATATATATATATATATATATATATATATATATATATATATATATATATATATATATATATATATATATATATATATATATATATATATATATATATATATATATATATATATATATATATATATATATATATATATATATGTGTGTGTGTGTGTGTGTATGTGTATGTGTGTGTGTGTAAGTATGCAAAACTTTTGCTGAAGCCAAAATGTTAAAAAAAGTTGTTGATAGTTTTTATTTATTTTTTGACCATTGAAAAATTCACCCTTAAAAAATTGCCCCCTTATTTTCAAAAAAATAACTTAATTGTGAGAAAGCAAACATAAGACAATAATGTTGTGTTATCAATGTTTTAAGAAATTAATAGTATAAGTTTAAATAAGTATGAGTTTTTTTTAAATAAGAACATTTTTTTTTAAACATTTAAATTTTATTTTATAACAATATTGTTTAATTTAAAGATATTTCACATGTACGTATGTATATATATATATATGTGTTTTTAGCTTAGATGGCTCTAATAGCAAACAAATGGGAGCATTTATAAATGATACTTCTGTTCAGTATCAAAATTGTAAAATGAAAAAAGTTATATTGGATAACAAACCTTGTCTTTGCCTTTTCTCCGTTAGTGAAATAAAATCTGGGACTGAGCTAAGATACAATTATGGTGATAATGTGGAGAACTTATGGTGGAGAACTAATGTATGCTAACTTAATTTTAGTATATGTACTTATTTTTAACTCTAAATTATCAAATTTACAATTAATTTGATAGTTTATTATACTTATGTTATTTGTTTACAAGGTTTTCAGGTAAAAGCCAGTTGTTTTTAAGTGTTACAGATTAAAACTTCAAATGTGTTGCCGTTTTAAAGTAGTTTGATTTGCAAGTAAATAAATTTTTAATTTGCATTTGACTTAAATCATCATAAAAGAAGTAAATATAAAGAATTGAAGTAAACATAAAAAAAAGAAATAATATGTAAATAATTATTATGCAATTGATAAATGTTTGTGTTAAATGCAAAACAATATTTGTGTGTGTTTGTGTCTTTATCAAGTTTTTGAATTTCCAATGCTAAATTAAAGAGAATATTATGCTAAACTTCAAAATGTATAATTTTTGAACCATCTAAAGGGTCCTATATTTTATTTGGATACTATATTTTTACATATTTTATTAAAAAAAGTTTTAAATTTTTTAACTTTGTGTCTTACCTTTACATGGATCACCCTATTAAAATTTTTCTCAATATTAACAATGTTTTAGGTATTTTAAAGCATAAAAGATATGGCATATCTTTTGCAAATTTCTACTCAAAAATTATTATTTTAGAAATTTATTATTCAATAAACAAAACAACATAGTTTGCTACTTCGAATATATATCTGGAAATTGTATTTGTTTATATTTTGTTTACTAGTTGCTTTCAACAATGTAAAAATAAATAATCTCTTGTATGATATAATTGTACGAGTAAATAAAATAATAACAATAAAAAAAAAGAAAAATTGTAACTTTATTTGTTTTTTAGAAAATATTACTTCAACCTTATAATTTATCTGATATTGATTTAAAAAAAGATTATTCTCAGGTAAAAAATTATCAATTTTATAAAAAATGCTATTTATTTGTTTTTATTTTTTTATATCAAATTTGCTGTTCCAAAATGAAAACATTCATTTACAGTTTACTTGTGCTTCTCAACTACATGAGAACTGTTAATATTCAAGATTTGAAGTAGATTAACCAGGCGAATCTTATAATGAAACAAATAAAGTTCTTTTAAATATTTGCTGCATAACTGCGATAATGTTACAATGTCTATTCAAAATAAAATTTATTTGGCTTATTCATATAAATTTTATTTTGAATATAGATTTAAACGAATGCTTTATAATCATTTAGTTGACTTACTATGAGTCTCAGTTATGTGACAAGTGTTTATTCAAAATAATTAGTTTATTAGCTTAAATCTTATTAAGAAACAAAATTAGTTTTTTAAAATAGTTACTTTGGAGTTTTTATATCTAAAAATCAAGTTATAAATTGCTGATTAAAGTTTTTCACTTTTTGATTTTACTGCTATATAGATTCCAGTTAATACAACTTCATCCCTTGTTGAGGCTCTTCCATCACCAGTCTCTGTTAGTTCGCTTGTAAGTATGATTTTGCATTAAAAAAATAATTCTTCAAGCTAGAAAGGTTTCTTAGAAACATTTTATATCTTTTTATAAACTTTATGTTTAAAGTTTTAACCTTGACTTGATATTTTTGGCTCGTGTTAATGATTATTTTTTAACTGGTTTTGCTTAGTTGGGAAGTAACTCATTTATTGATACTGTTGGTGTTTTGTCAAAAACTTGTGCTGTATCTGTAAGCGTTTTGATTTGTAAATTTAAAAAAAAAAAGTTTTAATCTAAACGTAGTGCCTGACTGTTCGTACTTTTTGTTTGTTTGTTTGTTTCAGTGAATAAGCTTTGAAATAAAATGGAATCTGAATGACGATATGCTACTAAACTTTGCTAATTTTTTTTTGCTGCAAAACTGTGCTATTTTTATGACATTTATTCAGAATAAAATTAGTTTTTTCCTATTGTAAAATAAATGCTGTTTTTAATCATTTGATCAACTTAGCATTACTCTCAATTTTGGGACAATTGTTTATCGAAATAATTAGTAGATTTTTGCCAGTTTGTTGTTTGCGTGTTGCTAGCTCATGTCATAATATTTTTTCACTTTTTAATTTAATGTACAACAATGTCAAAACTTCAATTACATTTTCAAAAGTTAATTAATTAGATTTATATTTATAAACAAGATAAAAAGAAGTTTTTGAGAGTTTTTGATCAGTGAGCCCATTAAGGGCTCTTTTCTTTTTCAAGAATGTAAATATTTCTCCATAAGTCTGTTTTTTAGTTTCAACCCAAATTTTTTTTTTTTTTTTTTTTTTACAGAAATACATAATTTATAGATATATTGAAATAATAACATCTCTTAACTATTAAAGTTTCATTTATTTTATGTTGCTAAATAAATAGAATAAAAATTTTAAAATAATAATTTTTACTTTTTTACTAAAAATACTGTTCTCAATATACAATTATGATAAATTCTTAACATTTATAAATAGTTCATAACATAACACTGAATCTTATTAAGAATTAAAATTAGTTTTTTAAAATAGGCACTTTGAAGTTTTTATAATTAGTTATCAGTTGGTTGTATTTTTTATTTTTTTTGAATTTACTGCTGTATAGATTCCAGTAAATACAACTTCATACCTTGATGAGATTCTTCCGTCACCAGCCTCTGTTAATTCGTTAGTAAGTATGTTTTTGTATAAAAACACTAATTCTCTGAGCTGGAAATGTTTCTTGATGTTTTATATCTTTTTATAAACTTTATGTTGAAGCTTTAACATTGACTTGATATTTTTGGCTTGTGTTAATGATTTTTTTTTAACTGATTTTGCTTAGTTGGGAAGTAACTCATTTATAAAACATGATACTGTTGGTGCTTTGTCCAAAACTTGTGCTATTTCGGTAAGTGTTTTGATTTGTAAATTTTTAAAAAGAATTTTTTTTCATTTAAGTGTGAAGGATGAAAGTTTGTACCTTTTTTTTATGTTCATTACTGCTAATAATCTTTGGAATGAAATGGAATCAAAAAGATTATTTCTGGGTAGCTTTGCTAATGTTTTTTTGCTGCATATCTGTGCTAATGTTATAACATCTAGTCAGAATAAAATTTTACTTCACCTGTTCTGAAATAAAAGCTTGTCAGAATCATTTGATTGGCTCACTAAAAGTCTCAATTATGCAACAAGTCTTTATTAAAAATATTAGAAAATTATCCTGAATCTATTTTAGAGCCATGTTTTATTTTTATAAAGCTTCTAATTTTTATTATAAGTAAGTTTTTTGACTTTGTTGTTACTTATAGATACCAGTAGTAACATCTTCTTTGTTTGATGAAATTTTATCTTCGCCTTTATCAGTTGATTCTTATGTAAGTATATATTTTTTAGTGTATCTGAGTATGGGATGGTTTTTTGTTACTTTTTTTATATCAGAAAAAATTTGTATTTGCATTAGTAACATTGAATTGGTATTTCTTCATAGTAAATTTAATTTTTTTTTTTTTTTTTTTTTACTATGCGTAGTTGCGAAGTAATTTAAATGTAGAACCGAGAAGAGAAGAGATTTTGTCAAAAAGTTGTGTCACACCTGTACGTATTTTTGTTTTTTATTTAAAAAATATTAATTTTTTTTCTTTTTATCGGAACATGCACTTAAGAAGTTTGCATCATATTTTATTGCTCATTTCGGTTAATCAAGTTTAAAATAAATCAGCATGATTAATCATTTTTTTAAATTATGTTATAACCTGTTTAGTGGCTTTACTTGTTTTAAATGTTGTAAATCAATTTTAGAATCATCTGTATTTATATTAGATCTTTTATTAATTTTTTTTTAATAAAATAATCCATTAAATACATCTAAATCTGAATTTTAATGTAAAAAAATTTAAAGGTAATTTTGTAAGTTAAAGTTTTACACAAATGTGGATTTTTTTCCACATTTGTGTAAAATAAAAATATTATATTTTTTAATAGAATTGTAATAATAAAACATTTTGTATTTTGCATTTTCAAAAGTTACTTAATTGGATTTATATTTATAAACAAGATAAAAAGATGTTTTTAAGAGTTTTTGATCAGTGAGCCCATTAAGGGCTCTTTTCTTTTTCAAGAATGTAAATATTTCTCCATAAGTCTGTGTTTTAGTTTCAACCAAATTTTTTTTTTTTTTTTTTTTTAACAGAAATACATAATTTATAGATAAATTGAAATAATAACATCTCTTAACTATTAAAGTTTCATTTATTTTATGTTGCTAAATAAATAGAATAAAAATTTTAAAATAATAATTTTTACTTTTTTACTAAAAATACTTTTCTCAATATACAATTATGATAAATTCTTAACATTTATAAATAGTTCATAACATAACACTGAATCTTATTAAGAATTAAAATTAGTTTTTTAAAATAGGCACTTTGAAGTTTTTATAATTCGTTATCAGTTGGTTGTATTTTTATATTTTTTTTTGAATTTACTGCTGTATAGATTCCAGTAAATACAACTTCATACCTTGATGAGATTCTTCCGTCACCAGCCTCTGTTAATTCGTTAGTAAGTATGTTTTTGTATAAAAACACTAATTCTCTGAGCTGGAAATGTTTCTTGATGTTTTATATCTTTTTATAAACTTTATGTTGAAGCTTTAACATTGACTTGATATTTTTGGCTTGTGTTAATGATTTTTTTTTAACTGATTTTGCTTAGTTGGGAAGTAACTCATTTATAAAACATGATACTGTTGGTGCTTTGTCCAAAACTTGTGCTATTTCGGTAAGTGTTTTGATTTGTAAATTTTTAAAAAGAATTTTTTTTCATTTAAGTGTGAAGGATGAAAGTTTGTACCTTTTTTTTATGTTCATTACTGTTAATAATCTTTGGAATGAAATGGAATCAAAAAGATTATTTCTGGGTAGCTTTGCTAATGTTTTTTTGCTGCATATCTGTGCTAATGTTATAACATCTAGTCAGAATAAAATTTTACTTCACCTGTTCTGAAATAAAAGCTTGTCAGAATCATTTGATTGGCTCACTAAAAGTCTTAATTATACAACAAGTCTTTATTAAAAATATTAGAAAATTATCCTGAATCTATTTTAGAGCCATGTTTTATTTTTATAAAGCTTCTAATTTTTATTATAAGTAAGTATTTTGACTTTGTTGTTACTTATAGATACCAGTAGTAACATCTTCTTTGTTTGATGAAATTTTATCTTCGCCTTTATCAGTTGATTCTTATGTAAGTATATATTTTTTAGTGTATCTGAGTATAGGATGGTTTTTTGTTACTTTTTTTATATCAGAAAAAATTGGTATTTGCATTAGTAACATTGAATTGGTATTTCTTCATAGTAAATTTAATTAATTAATTTTTTTTTTTTTTTTTTTTTTTTAATTTTTTTTATTTATTTATTTTTTTTTCTTTTATGCGTAGTTGCGAAGTAATTTAAATGTAGAACCAAGAAGAGAAGAGATTTTGTCAAAAAGTTGTGTCACACCTGTACGTATTTTTGTTTTTTATTTAAAAAATATTAATTTTTTTTCTTTTTATCGGAACATGCACTTAAGAAGTTTGCATCATATTTTATTGCTCATTTCGGTTAATCAAGTTTAAAATAAATCAGCATGATTAATCATTTTTTTAAATTATGTTATAACCTGTTTAGTGGCTTTACTTGTTTTAAATGTTGTAAATCAATTTTAGAATCATCTGTATTTATATTAGATCTTTTATTAGTTTTTTTTTAATAAAATAATCCATTAAATACATCTAAATCTGAATTTTAATGTAAAAAAATTTAAAGGTAATTTTGTAAGTTAAAGTTTTACACAAATGTGGATTTTTTTCCACATTTGTGTAAAATAACAATATTATATTTTTTAATAGAATTGTAATATTAAAACATTTTGTATTTTGCATTTTCAAAAGTTACTTAATTGGATTTATATTTATAAACAAGATAAAAAGATGTTTTTAAGAGTTTTTGATCAGTGAGCCCATTAAGGGCTCTTTTCTTTTTCAAGAATGTAAATATTTCTCCATAAGTCTGTGTTTTAGTTTCAACCAAATTTTTTTTTTTTTTTTTTTTTAACAGAAATACATTATTTATAGATAAATTGAAATAATAACATCTCTTAACTATTAAAGTTTCATTTATTTTATGTTGCTAAATAAATAGAATAAAAATTTTAAAATAATAATTTTTACTTTTTTACTAAAAATACTTTTCTCAATATACAATTATGATAAATTCTTAACATTTATAAATAGTTCATAACATAACACTGAATCTTATTAAGAATTAAAATTAGTTTTTTAAAATAGGCACTTTGAAGTTTTTATAATTCGTTATCAGTTGGTTGTATTTTTATATTTTTTTTTGAATTTACTGCTGTATAGATTCCAGTAAATACAACTTCATACCTTGATGAGATTCTTCCGTCACCAGCCTCTGTTAATTCGTTAGTAAGTATGTTTTTGTATAAAAACACTAATTCTCTGAGCTGGAAATGTTTCTTGATGTTTTATATCTTTTTATAAACTTTATGTTGAAGCTTTAACATTGACTTGATATTTTTGGCTTGTGTTAATGATTTTTTTTTAACTGATTTTGCTTAGTTGGGAAGTAACTCATTTATAAAACATGATACTGTTGGTGCTTTGTCCAAAACTTGTGCTATTTCGGTAAGTGTTTTGATTTGTAAATTTTTAAAAAGAATTTTTTTTCATTTAAGTGTGAAGGATGAAAGTTTGTACCTTTTTTTTATGTTCATTACTGTTAATAATCTTTGGAATGAAATGGAATCAAAAAGATTATTTCTGGGTAGCTTTGCTAATGTTTTTTTGCTGCATATCTGTGCTAATGTTATAACATCTAGTCAGAATAAAATTTTACTTCACCTGTTCTGAAATAAAAGCTTGTCAGAATCATTTGATTGGCTCACTAAAAGTCTCAATTATGCAACAAGTCTTTATTAAAAATATTAGAAAATTATCCTGAATCTATTTTAGAGCCATGTTTTATTTTTATAAAGCTTCTAATTTTTATTATAAGTAAGTTTTTTGACTTTGTTGTTACTTATAGATACCAGTAGTAACATCTTCTTTGTTTGATGAAATTTTATCTTCGCCTTTATCAGTTGATTCTTATGTAAGTATATATTTTTTAGTGTATCTGAGTATAGGATGGTTTTTTGTTACTTTTTTATATCAGAAAAAATTGGTATTTGCATTAGTAACATTGAATTGGTATTTCTTCATAGTAAATTTAATTAATTAATTTTTTTTATTTTTTTTTTTAATTTTTTTTATTTTTTATTTTTTATTTTTTTTTTATGCGTAGTTGCGAAGTAATTTAAATGTAGAAACAAGAAGAGAAGAGATTTTGTCAAAAAGTTGTGTCACACCTGTACGTATTTTTGTTTTTTATTTAAAAATTATTAATTTTTTTTCTTTTTATCGGAACATGCACTTAAGAAGTTTGCATCATATTTTATTGCTCATTTCGGTTAATCAAGTTTAAAATAAATCAGCATGATTAATCATTTTTTAAAATTATTTTATAACCTGTTTAGTGGCTTTACTTATTTTAAATGTTGTAAATCAATTTTAGAATCATCTGTATTTATATTAGATCTTTTATTAATTTTTTTTTAATAAAATAATCCATTAAATACATCTAAATCTGAATTTTAATGTAAAAAAAGTTAAAGGTAATTTTGTAAGTTAAAGTTTTACACAAATGTGGATTTTTTTCCACATTTGTGTAAAATAACAATATTATATTTTTTAATAGAATTGTAATAATAAAACAAGTTTTCATAAATACTTTGGGTTGTTATTTAAAAAAAAAAATTAATTGTATTATATCTAAGCATAAATCTTGAAGGTTTGCATGTATTTTTTTTTTATGTTTGCTACAGTTAATAGGCTTTGAAATTAGCTGTAATCAAAATGATTTTGGTTTCATAACTACTTTTTTTTCTAGCTGCGTAACTGCGATGTTACAACACCTGTTCAGAATAAAATTTACTTGCTCTATTCTAAAACTAATGCTTTACAATCATTTAATTACTATGAGTGTCTGTTATGTGACATGTGTTTATTCAAAATAATCAGTACATTAGCCTGAGTCTTATTAAAAATGAAATTTAGTTTTTTAAAATAGTTACTTTGGAGTTTTTATATCTAAAAATCAAATTGGTAATTGAAGTTTTTCACTTTTTCATTTTACTGCTGTATAGATTCCAGTTAATACAACTTCATCTCTTGCTGAGGTTCTTCCATCACCAGTCTCTGTTAGTTCGCTTGTAAGTATGATTTTGCTTAAAAACAATAATTCTCTGAGCTAGAAAGGTTTCTTAGAAACATTTCATATCTTTTTATAAACTTTATGCTTGAAGTTTTAACTTTTTTTTGGCTTTCAACTTTTTTTTGGCTCACCTAAAATCTTGTGGCAATTGTTTATTCAAAGTAATTAATCTTATTAAAAAATAATTTAAAACAGATTCTTTTTTCTTTTTTTTTTATTAAAATCATGGTTTTCAGATAGTTATTATTTATCAGATAGTTTTTAAGTGTATTGCGAAATAAAGACTATTGTAGTTTCAAAATTTATCAGATTATTTGATAATAATGAATAAAAATAATTATAAAGACTATTGTAATTTTCAAGCCTTACGATAGAACTTTATTAAATTAAAAATTTAATTTAGTTATCCTTTAATTTAACAATAATAATTAACCAAAGTCATTGCTTTTAGGTTCCATTAAATAAAACTCCTATGGTCATTGATGATTTTTTTTCCTCCTTAGTTACTATTGATTGTAATGTAAGTATTGTATGTAATCAAATTTTTTGTACTACTTTTTCTTGAGTTTTCTCTGAATTTTTTTAATTTGACATTTTGTAAATGTTATTTTTTTCTATAATATACAGTGAAAATAACAAAAATTAATTTTTAAAAAATATGCTTTTCAGAACTTAGACCAGCAAAAATGTAACATTGTTTCTGATCATCTTGAAAGTATTGATTTTGTAAGTATTTGATTTTTAATTTGTACAAGAGGTTTTTGGCTTTTATCCCTCTACTTTTGGAAAATATTATCAGTCATTCAAGTATTTAAATTGAAATTGTTTGAAAAATGAAATTTATTTTAGGTTGACTTTACTCGACTTGATGACCCTAATAAATGTTTTAAAAGGTATTTTTTTATTACATTAGCTATTGTCACCAAGAATAAAGTCATTAAAATGTTTTTTAATAAATTAATAAACATTTCCTTAAAAGTCATAGTTAGTCTGTTTCTCAAAGTTTTATTTATGACTCTTTAGATACTCAAGAATAGAACAAATTTTATAATTTGAATAAGTAAATGTTGTTTTGAAAATTTTTGAGTGTTAGATTAAATAATATAATCAAATTAATATATAAACATATTAATATTCCAGTATATTTTTTATTATATCTAAAAGTAGGATATAGTGGTTTTTGTATAATGGTATTGTTTTAGAAACATCTCAGGATGCAGGACTTTTTTTTACCTTTTAATGTTTTTATTTTCTTCAAATTCTTTTTAAATTTTATTTATTTTACTTACTATATTTTGACTTACTTTTGCTATTGTAAAACTTAATTTTTTATTAATTTTTCACAGTTTTGTGTATTAAATACTTTAAATATCTTTGATCTGTTTAACATTTCTTTATCAGTAGTAGCAGCTTTTTGCCATTAAATAATATTAAACTTATTTATTAAATTAGTCTAGAGCCAAATTATTTAAAATCTAAATCTAAATATAGCTTTACATTTTTCAAATCATTTTGAATAGTAAACAACTTGATGTTTTTATGATTTTCACAACTAATCAAAATTGTCTAGGTAACTTGTTTTACGTTATAGAAACAATGTTCGATCAAAATTTGAGTGTACTGTAGAAACTTGTCGCCATGACGTCTTCCATCTAGGAAGACATCTGAATAAAGCACACAAATGGTCATTAGCAAGTTCTAAAGCTGTATTGGGCCAATTTAAGCTACGAAACACTAAAACACTATCTGCAACACCAAAAACTCATAAAAAATATGAAAGAAAATATAAAGTTTGTCCATTTCCTTGCAGACAAGTAGTCAAGCGTATGGATAGACATTTAAAGACTGTCCATAAAATGAACCCATTGGATATAAGTTATAAAAAAGCATTAGCAGCTGCAAAAAATTTTGACTTTTCAATTTTAGATTCCTCTGAGCTTTCTCCTACACATAAAATTAATCAGAGGTATGGTACTCCTTTAAAATTTGAGCAAGAAAATATTTCAACATCTATGCATACTCCTCGAAAAGCACGAACACAGTTAGTTTTTTCAACTCCACCAGAAGTCTTTCCTCTAAGTTCGCATGATTCAAATGACGACTTAAGTCATATTGATGATAGCAATGACAGTGATTATCAACCATCACCTAAAAATGAAAATTTAAGTGAAAGTATTAAAACTATTCTAGATGGATTTCAAAAATTTCTGATTGGTCCTGATGGCGAAAAAACTTTATCTTCTGCAAAACAAATTCGGGATGACATTCAAAGAATGATTGTTTTTTGTGGCTTAAAAGAGTCTATTGCCCCATTATTTGACCCCAAATTTTTTAGAGACAATTATTTAGTCAAAATTCAAGAAGAAAATTCCAAAAAAACAATAACCAAAGCTTCTTCAATTAAAAAATATTTGTGTTCTTTTACTTTATTTTGTGATTATATTTTAAATGAAAGTATCAATATAGACAATATTCAACCAAGTGCCATTTTACACATGAAATTAAAAAACCAATCTTGGAAGAAAGTATATGCAAAGAAGAAAAAAGCTCAAGATTGGGTGAAAGAAATGGAAGAGGTAATGGCAATTGATACCTTTGTAACACCAGAACATATCAATAAATATTTTGAAAGTGAACACTCTGTTATGGCAAAGTCTCTTTTTGAAAAATTTGAAACTTCTTTATCCACTTCGATATCTCAAAAAGATTTTTGTTGCATGCGTGATCATCTTTTTTCAGTTATTCATTTTGGAAATGGCCACAGGTCAGGTGTTAGCGCAAATCTTATGGTTGAAGAATTTAATGCAGCCAAGTTAGTGGGAGATTTTTATGAGTTATATGTCTGTAAACATAAAACATTTAATTCACATGGTCCAGCTGTTATAACTTTAACCCCAATTGAATTTAAATGGATGCAAATTTATGTTAAAAAAGTAAGACCACTTGTGGAAACCTCTGTCAGAAATGTTTTCATTTCTTTCTCTGGAAATGAAATGGATTCTGGACAAATAAGCAACAGATTAAATTCTCTTTGGGTTAAATCTGGAATTTTTGAACAAGACTCAATAACAAGACAACTGTCTTGTAATCTTATAAGAAAGGCAACAGCAACTGGAATAAGAAATGAAAATCTTGGACATTATAAAGAAGTTGCAAACTTAATGGGCCACGAATTAAAAACAGCAGAGAGTAGTTATGTTGTCCAAAAAAAACAAAAAAGTGCTGCAGTTGCAGGACAGATTGTAAGACAATATAATTACTCTCACAACAAATTACCAACATCTCCAAGACATAATTGGACTTCTGCAGAAATAAAATTAATATCTAATGTTTTTAATGAAAATATCTTGACGAATAAAATTTCCATGGAAGATGTTGTCAAAAATAAAATAGAAAATTTACCGTCATATATATCATGTAGGCAGATTTACGATAAAGTACGAAGCCTTATGAGGTATTCACCTTTAAAGAAAAGTTCGAAGGTAATTTGTTTTGTCTAACTATTAACAAATTTAAAGTGTAGCAATAAAAAAAAATCATTTTTTTTTATTCAAATCTTGGAATGAATATACAGAGTTTTATTATTAGATAAATGTTTGCTATTCACCATTGTCAAATGATTTATTACCACCAGTGACAACCAAAGAAATTGACATCAACGAAGAAAATAACACAAGTTCTCATAAATTGGAACAAGTCAGTTTTAGTTGCTATGTTGAACACTCGTATAAAGTTGTAAACTTGTTTACCTGAAATCTGCTTTTTAATCATTATTTTCTTTCTTTTTTAGTTTTATCAATATTTTTTAGAACCATTCATTTAAATTTATAGGAAGTTGTGTTTGGAAAAAGAAAAAGAAAGTGTCTTTTTTCAAGTGAAGAATTAGAAGTACTAAAGAGAAAATGTTCTCATTTAATTTCTGGAAAAACTTTTCCTGCTTCAAAAATAGTTGAAGCTCTGAAAGATGATAATTTATTAAATAAATATTCGGTTTCGCAAATTCGTACACGACTTGTTTATGAAACTATGTGATAGATATGTTCTGAGATTTTTCCTTTTATTATTCAGAATTTTACATTTTTATTCAGCCTATTACAGCAGAGTTTGTAAAAACAACTTTAGAAGTATCGATTAACTTCATTAATCAATACATATTAATATAGATTTACGTAGTTAGCATTTTTAGCTTGAAGTGATTGAATTATTTTCCTTGCATTTTTGAGTTTTCTTTCAATTAATAGTTTGTTAAGTTTTGCTTAGGTTTTGTTTTTTGTAGTTTTGCTAAAGATATTTTCATTTTCTGCTTTAATTTCTTTTTGAATTTTATATTTAATTTATATAGATAGTAAGAAATTTATAAGGAGATGTTGTTTTTATTTCTTTACTATAGTTTCTTATTTTGCTAGATTTGTTTTAGTTAAAACAAAATTTTTTTGTTATTTACAGTTAGATAAAATGTAGACATTTTTGGTAAAAAAAACCTTAAGTATTACCATTTCATTAAATATTAACTTTTTTCGTAATCTTTTTTTTTTTATCTGAATTAAAAGTATGTTTCTAAATTCTGGAGTGATTTTCATTTCATGAGATAGGATTAGGTTTATTATGTAGTTACTCATAGCCATTAATAATTATGTCATAAAAATAGACAAGGAGAGAGGAAACTAAACTTATAGTTTTTGTTATTGCATAAATTAATCAAGTGATAAATTAAACTCTAAGTGATAAATAAGCATCATATTAAGTTAATTGCAGCTAATACCACTGATTATGTCTATTTCTTGTAATAGACATAATCAGAATAATGTGTTTCTAAAATGTTATCTGCACAAATGTTAAAAGGTCTCCTAAATAAATACTTCAGTTAGGTTCTTATAAAAAATTATACTGTGATGTATGATTATTTTATATTAATTTTTTTAAACATCCGATAATTACCTTTTTGGTAAAAGTAAAAGGCAATCTAGGTTTGTTCCTTCTAGGTTTGTTCCCAAAATGTTCTTTCATCAAGTTTATGAGTATCAGTTGTTGCTCTTTTAAATTCCATTGTTGAAAAGGCTAATTTAAAATTGCTACAATCCCAAAATTAATTATGACATGCAACAAATGTTTTGTATACTTCTATCATTCATACAGATATTTTTCCAATTTTTTTTTGTTTTTTTGTAAGCAAATTTGCTCCCAACAAGCCTGCAAGCAACCATTATTTAAGTTTGGAATTAACAGAATAGAAAGAAGAGAGTTAAAGACCAAAAAAGCAATTTAAAAAAAGCAGAAGACTTAAAACTGTGTCAGAAAAACACAAAGACAGGAGAGAATTTCAAAGTACACATGTTCACTGAAAAAAAAGCTTGTGTATATTCACTAAAAAAAAAGCATATTTTATCAGCAATCCCCGCCTATTTTCACCCAGTAACCCAGTCAGCATGATCAAATCCCTGGGTTACCCAATGATATGTTTAATTTATTACAAAAAAGAGAATGCTAGAGTTATTGCATTCTGATTAATAATAGTTTTGATAATTTTCAAGACATTGTATATGGCAATGCAGTATTTATTTTTTAAAAATTGACATGGATTTTTAAAGCAAGTTTTACAACTGGGTATTCTTTCTTCTCGTTTTTTTTTAGAAAGCTAATAAACCAGAACAGAAAAAGTTTTAAAAATTTAAAAACAATTTTTAAAATTGTAAGATTGCTTGTCTAAACCAAAACCCTCAGATAGTTTAGTGGTACTCCCTACCTATTTAGTCAGTTGATGTATGTACACTTCCTACATGTTCTACTTGTAACTAATTAATGAATGTTTATTCCCATCTATAAAACAAAAATAAAAAATAAATATTTAAAAACAGTATAAAATGATTAAAAAAAGCACATCATTAATTAAAAACTTTTTTTGTTGCAGTTTTTTAAAAAATATCCTTTTGCAACTGTTTAATTGTTTTAAAATTTTAAAACAATTAAATAGTTGCCAAAGTCAGTTAAATACCAACTATTAAATATATATATATATATACATATATACATATACATATATATATATATATATATATATATATATATATATATATATATATATATATATATATATATATATATATATATATATATATATATATATATATATATGTATATATATATATATATCACATTAATAAATTTATAACTATTCTTTGATTAAACTTTTAAAGTATAGAAATATCCTCTTATTTTTAGGTTTTAGGTTTGACGATTAACAATTTTTATGCAATTATAATTCTTCCGATTTAAAAATATTAATATGTCAATGGAAGCTAAAGTAAGTTGGTTTATAATGTAAGTATGAAATTTTTTTTTAATCAAAAATTATAAAATGGTAAAGTTGCAGAATTATGTAATAATTTTTTTATATAGTGCAAAGGTCAATTTTTTTGAAGGTTTTTTTTTTTTTTTTTGAGACATTTCTTGATTTAAAGTGATTATTATTTTTTTAAATAACCTTGCTTCATTTTTTCATATATAGGTCACCCAGCTTGAACTAGATTTAAAAAACTTTTTTTTGATATAATAAGGACCCTTTCAATAATCAAAACCTGGTAGCAACTTTTAAAGAATTTTAAAAAGTCAGGGTTTAAAAGAATTTTAAAATCTTTATGGTTCATAAATCGTAGGACAGTCATGTTGGAATAATATTAGGAAACGTTAATATATCTTTTTTTTTACAGGGTAATTTTTTCAATAATAGTTACAATAATAGGTGACAAGCAAAAGAAATCAAGTACCATCTTAACGTAAGTAATTAATTTTTGTTAGATTTTTATTGGTTAAACGTGATGAAATTCAGCACTCTCTAATTGCTAATTTCTCAAAAATTACTTTGCAGATTCTTTTAATTTTTTTGACACAATGAAGCTAATTACTTATTTCAACAATTTTTTAAAGTTTTTATTGGATGATTAGAAAAAAATCTAATATTTTTGCAAGTACTTGACATCCTCTGCTGGAATTTGCTTGGAGTTACTTCCTTGGGTACAGATTCGACACCATTTTGTTTGTACCATTTTAGAGACTTCTTGAAGTAGTGGATTGTAACCTAATCATGTCAAAATATTGTGTATCATGCTTTTTAAAAATGGCAAAAAATATTTCTGTAAATATTTTTTTATATATGCAAACCTGTGTTCAAAGTTTTACGAGTAATGTGAAGTGTACTTTTTAAACCACAGGTTGCAATATAAGGAATTTGAAAGCAAATTTATCAGTTTAAATATACTTGAATTTTTTGGCAACATATCTACCTTTCAATTTATAAAGATACTGCTGATCTGGGCAGTTATATATAATCCTTTTTGCAATAGTTTTCATAATCTTTAATTATGCACAACTTTTCTTGGTTTAAAAGTTTATATAGCTTTTTAGAATAACGAATTGCTTTAATTTCTCCAATTTTTTTTTCCATTTCCAGCTTCCCTTTCAATAGAATGAGTTAGTAGTTTTTAAGTAATTTCATAGTGTTCAACTGATTATATATTTTTTTCTTTAAAAGGTAATTTTAGAATGTTTTAAAGCTTAAGGTTGGGTGAATGAGTGGCAGAAATATTACAGCTATAAATTCTAAGAGAGAGAGAAAGAGGGAACATGAGGCGTAAATATGTCTTTATATAATTATCATTTATATACAAATATGTCTTTATTTTATGTCATTTTAAATTAAATAGTATTAAACTTATATGTAATTTGAATGAGCATTTTAATCAACCTTTCTTGTTTCAGTTGCTACTATATGCTGTTTCCTAGAATAAAAACAACAATCATTGTCAATTGAAGTTAAAGTAAGTTGGTTGTAATGTAAGTTTTGTAATTTTTTAAATTATTTTCATTTTTTGTTTTGAATCAAAAAATCTAAATACTGGGCTGGTAACAACTCTTAAATAATTTTGATTTAATTCTAATAATCTAATTTTATTTTTGTTTACAACAATTTAAGATGTGTCCACCTTAATCATAGAAAAGCAGGTCTAAAAACCAGAATATTTTTAAGGTTCATAAATCAAAAGAACAATCATGTAAGAAACATTAACAAATCTTTTTTTTTTACAGAGTAATTTTTTTAGAGTCAAAAATAGGCTAAACTGATTTAAGATATTTTTCTTAGAGTACTGTTAAATGCTAATGCCATTATAGTTTTATTTGGAATAGTTACAAAAATAGGTGACAAGCAAAAGGAATCAAGTACCATCACAAAGCAAGTAATTGGTTTTTGTTAGATTTTTATTTGTTAAGCATGATGGAATTCAATGCCTTCTAATTGTTTATTACCCAAAAATTACTTTACTAAATATATTATTTACTTCCATAATTTTTTACAAATTTTATTAGACGCTTACATAAAAACCCAACATTTTTTAAGAGAACTTGACATTATATGCCGGATCTTGCTTTGTGTTACTTTCTTGAAATGAATTTGACACCAATTTGTTCATACCATAATAGAGACTTCTTGAAGTTGTGGATCGTAAATAAATCATGCCAATATATTGTGGGTTTAAAAACATGTTTTTTAATAAATGCAAAAGGCATTTATTTAATATTTTTATATATACAAATCTGTTTGTATTTAAAAAAAAAAAGCATTCATATCAATAAAACAAAAATAAAAAAAGGAAATATTTAAAAACAGTATACAAAGTATAAATACTAAAAACACATCATTAATTGAAAAAACTTTCTAGTCAGGATTTTTGCAGTTTTGAAAAAAATGATAAAACTATATTCAAAATCGCAGTCTGTCATACAAGGAAGAGCAAATTTCTTAGTTTAAATATAATACTGTTGGCCTGGCAATTGTAGATAATCTTTTTTGCAATAATTTTCATTGTTTTCAATTATGCATAAATTTTCTTGGTTAAAAAGTTTATATAGCTTTTTTGAAGATAATTAAATCAATAAACTACTATGAGAATTTATGAAAATTAAATACTAAATTTTTCAAGTAAAAAACTTTCTACATAACATGTTGTGGTTTTAAAAAAATATTTTAATCTTCCTAAATAATTTCAATGTTTTTGAAATGACAAGTTTCTTTAATTCATCACTGAATTGATTTGAAGTTTTTTTATGATATACTTTATATTCTTGAGATCTAAGTACTTTTCCTTTTATAATTAGCCTACTTTTAAATTTTTTTTTTAAGATCTCTCCTTAATTGACATGATTTTGTTTTTACGGAGCGTATGTTAGATTTTGGTCTATATTTATCTTTATATCTTTCCTTTTTTCCATCTCCAGCTTCACTTAACCAATGCTTACTATTCCAATCAAACAGAAACACATTAGCTTCTATATGCCAAAAAATAATTTTTTCAAGGGTATTTAAGTAATTAACAATTTATAGGGTGCTGAATTTCATTGTATTCAACTATATATATATATATATATATATATATATATATATATATATATATATATATATATATATATATATATATATATATATATATAAATATATATATATATATATATATATATATATATATATATATATATATATATATATATATATATATATATATATATATATATATATATATATATATATATATATAGATATGTATATATATATAGATATAGATATAGATATAGATATATATATATATATATATAGGTATATATATAGATATAGATATATATTGATATATATTGATATATATATATATATATATATATATATATATATATATATATATATATATATATATATATATATATATATATATATATATATATATATAGATATATAGATATAGATATATAGATATAGATATATATATAGATATAGATATATAGATATATATATATACATACATGCATTCATACATACATTCATACATATATACATTCATACATACATACATACACACATACATACATACATACATACACACATACATACATACATACATACATACATACATACATACATACATACATACATACATACATACATACATACATACATACATACATACATACATAGAAAGGGGGAGGGAGTACGAGATGTAAATTTTTCTTTATATAAACGTTTAAATATTTTGTACCTTTTTAATTGGTTTTATTATTATTTTAAATTGTTAAAATTATATGTTGTAATGAGTGTTTATTATTTTTTGTTGTTTTAGTTGCTACTACATGCTGTTTCCTTGAAGAAACCATATTTTTCTGAATGATTTATCAACCTAATTAGAAATATTTAATTGCTCTGAAACCTTTAAACATTTCGGTTAATTTATTTATTTCATAAGTTCTAATAATTATTTTGCTATCTTTTTAGGATATAAATATAACCTTTTTAAGATATAGATGCGATATAAAAACTATGTATAATATTATAATCATAAGTTAGATTATTTATATAAAATTATTATTATTATTTATTTATGTAAAATTATTTTTATGTAAAATTATTATTATTATTTATTTATGTAAAATATTTATTATTATTTAGATTATTTATGTCCCACTGTCACTTAAAACTAAATAAATTCCAATAGAAAATGCTTTTACATTTAAATTATTTTAAAGCAATTTTAATTTATATTTTTGTTTCTGTTTTTTTATGAAAATATAAATTAAAAAAACAGGGAAGTTTTAATCTTAATATCAAAAAATTGATTAAGAGCATATCAATCATAAATTGTTCATTTTGAAAAATGGTTTTTATTAAGTACAACAACAATTAGTCATTTGTATTACATAAATAACTACTAATCTTGTTTAGTATAAACTCAAAGCAAAATTAAACCTGAAACACGACAGAATGGAACATTATAAATATAATAAGTAAGTAATAAGTAATAAGTGTTGAAGGTTTAATGAAAAAATACATATACAATTTATTTCTGGAGAAACTATTGATACCTTTTTTCAAATATAAATAAGCTTCTGCGATGTACAATGTTTCAAAACAAACACTAAAACCCGTTAAAGCATGATTTGATACAAGTAAAATCACTGTATAACGATTTTCTGCTCAATTTCCTGATCTAAATCCTTATTAAGAGTTTATGAAAACAACTTTATGATGAAGTACATTTTCATGGTCGGTTTAAAAATCCTGAAGAATTTTATATGAAACTTTAGTTTGCCTGGTCACAGATAAAAGTTTAAATTGAAAAACTTGTTGGTTCTATGCCTATAAACTGAAGTGACGAATAATGGATCAATTATTAATCTGATACGCTTTTGACGGTATATTCTTGAATGTTTCTTTAGTTTTCGAGTTGTAATAGTAGCTTATTTTTATTTTCTGCAGTTTTTTATTGTATACTGATGTGTCAATATATATTTTTTTATACTTACACCATATTTTACTTAAGGTAAAAAAATTTTATATCACACCTAAAATGATAATTAGCATAATAAACTTTTTAGGTTTAAAAATGTATTTCCTTAGTTTCGGAGGTCAATACAAAAATTATATACAACAATTATTACAACTACACCGTAATTGTTAATCGCACAAAAAAAAAAAAACAATTTCGATACTAAACAATATTACAGTTTATATGCATTATATTATTAGCTAAATTAGATTATACATTTTTTAAAAAATATTGTTATTATACTTTTGTTAAAGGCTATTTTACACAAGGAAATTAAAATATAGTGCAGTTACACTTAGAAAACGAAAAAAAGATTATCATGGGATTTCTTTTTTTAAGAATATATTTGAAGATCGTTCTTTGTTTCAGCACTCGATTGCACAATTTAAAATTTGAATATCAGGATTTATATTTTCAAGAAAAATATATTTTTTAGTTTATATTTTAGATTTATGGCTATTTCACAAGTCCAAACATATAAAATGGAGGTTGGAGCTACTTGTTTTTTAAAACAGATGTTTAATGTTTAACAGACAAATAAGCTTAACTGCGGGATTGTTGTCATGCATACAAAATAAGAATTATACAATTTATATTATATTTTTTTGTATAGATGTTTTACAGAAAAATTTATTTAGGTGAATAAAACAACTATATTTTAACTATATTTTTTTTAATTTATTACATTAATTTATTTTACCCTGAGTTATAAATTAAACACACCCTAAGGCCAAAACGAGAAAAGCGTTTTTCCGAGCTTTTTTACAACTATTTTAGAGTTACATCCAATATTCTTACCTATAACACTTATAGCTAAGGCAAGGTTTAAATTTAAATCCGCTGATCGAAAATCATACAAAAATGCAGGAGTTTGCGGCATTTACAAAGCATTTTGCGAAGGTCGAAAATAACTTAATCAGTGTAAATATGTATTTACTATAAATAAATGTGTCTGTAATTAAGTTTAATTGTTAGCATTCCAGTTTGGAAAACATAAAGTTTAACATTGTGTTACAATATTAAACATTGTTGTAATGTGCATAATATAACATTTCGTTTGGAAAAAATATTTAGAAAAAAAGATAAGGGCTCAAATTTGTACTTGCAAATATTCTTGGTTTTTATACAAAATACGACCCCCATATTTTCCATAAGTCTTGAAAATTTTAAATTGGTCACTGGCACTTAAAACTTTTCAATACCGGTATTAAAAGCTCAGTAAACACATAAAAAATCTCAATTACACTTGGCAAATCAAATTTTTGTTTTTCATTACTTAACATCGCGGTTATATTAAAAGAGTAAGCAGTTTTTATCACAATGTTTTAGTTTTCTAAAAAATTAACGTCAAAACACCCAACTACGGACATTTGGAAAAAAAATTAAATAACTCGCTTCCCAGTCAGCAAGCTTTCATTGGCCCAACGTAAGTTTTAACGTTGGAAAATTTATTCCGTTAGGAATAATTTTCTAATGTTAAACTTTGCAAAAGATTTTCTCAAATATCGTACTATGTTATGCCGATGTAGGCCAAATATTTTATCCCTGGATTACCAAGGGGTATAATATCCCTGGATTACCAAGGGGTTCAAAAAATCATCCAAAACTAAACAAAGGCTATACATAAAATATCTAAAAACAAAAACACCAGATAGCGAAAAAATTTACAAAGATTACAAAAATCTATTCGAAAAAAATTAAAAAAAAATTACTATTCAAAATTAATTACTAAAGCTAAAAATGACTCAAAACGCACTTGGCAAATATTAAAAGAAATTACAGGAAAACAAAAAACATGCTCAAGCTCTTTGCCACAAATGCTTAAAGTCGATAACAATAGCTTGCATGAGCAACAAATAATAGCTCATGAATTCAATAAATATTTTACTGAAATTGGATCAATCTTATCAAGTAAAATACAAAAAACTCAGACCTCATTTTATGATTTTTTGTTACCTTTTGATAAAAATATTTCCTCTGAAGAATTATCTGCTGAACTATCATTTGATGAGTTTGAGAAAGCTTTTAAATCTTTAAAAAAAAATAAAGCACCTGGTGCAGATGAAATAAACGGGAACATTGTTATAGATTGCTATGAACAATTAAAAAATATTCTTTTCAAAATTTTCAGAGCATCTATTCATCAAGGTATTTTTCCTGAACGTTTAAAACTTGCCAGAGTTACCCCTCTCCATAAAGAAGGCGACAGATCCAATATCAATAATTATCGCCCTATCTCTGTTCTTTCTATATTTTCTAAAATTTTAGAAAGAATTATTTTCAATAGAGTATACAATTATTTTAATTACAACAATTTATTATATAACAATCAGTATGGTTTCAGAAAAGGGAGCTCAACTGAACATGCCATCATTCAATTTATACATAACATCTCTAAATCTTTTGAAAAATCTCAATACACACTAGGTGTCTTTATTGACCTATCAAAAGCTTTTGATACGGTCGATCACCACATCTTAATCCAAAAAATTAAATATTATGGTTTAAACAATAAAATTTTAAAATGGTTTGAAAGCTATTTAACAAATCGAAAGCAACTTGTGTATAGTAATGATGGTTATCAAAGTGAACCCCTGAGCATAACTTGTGGTGTTCCACAAGGCTCTATTCTCGGACCACTACTATTTTTAATCTATGTAAACGATTTAAACAAAGCTTCCAAATTGAAAAGTATAATGTTCGCTGATGATACTAATCTTTTCTTATCCCATACTGATATTTATGAACTCTTTTCAACTACAAACAAAGAACTCAAACACATTTCGAACTGGTTCAAAGCTAATAAATTAACTTTAAATATTAACAAAACAAAATGGATTATTTTTCACTCCTGCGCAAAAAAACGATTTTTAACAAATAATATGCCTCAAATTTACATTGATGAAACTATAATAAAAAGAGATACTGTTATAAAATTCTTAGGTGTTTATCTTGATGAAAATATTACTTGGAGAAAGCATATTGATCATATAAGCACCAAAGTTTCTAAAAATATTGGCATTTTATACAAAGCTCGAAATTATCTAAACAAAAAAAACTTAACCCAGCTCTATTATTCATTTATACATAATTATATAAATTATGCAATCATAGCCTGGGGAAGTACGGAGAAAAGTAAATTACAACATCTTTATCGCCGTCAGAAACATGCAATCCGAGTAGTTAATTATGCGGATCGCTTTTCACGTTCGAAATATTTTTTTGATTATATGAATGTACTAGATGTTTATAAACTTAACATATTTAATGTTTTATGTTTTACTTTTATGTGGAAAAACGATTTATCTTTATTTATTTTCAATGACCTTTTTTCTTTAAAACCAATAAATAAATACACATTAAGAAGTAATAGTTTTCTAAATGAACCATTTTGTAAAACGAAGTTCAATCAATTCTGTATTGCATATCGTGCACCCCATCTTTGGAATAAAATAGTATTACCAAATTTTGACCCTTCTACTACTCTTCCTGTTTTTAAAACTAAATTAAAAAACTTCATTCTCTGTATGGACAACATTCTAAAATTCTACTAAAAATTTATGTAAAATGTATTTTTCAAATCTTCAGCATATTGAGTATTAAAATGTTAGTATATTGTATATTTGCATGATGTTATATTGTATTAGTATATTGCATATTTGCATTATGTTAAATCTTTGCATTATGTCTTTTTTAAGGTTCCGGTGATAAGATCCTTCTGATCTTCTTTCGGAAACCTAGTCTTATATTGTTAGTACGCTGAATTGTATATACATATATATATATATACTCTTTTTTTTTTTTTTTTTTCTTTTCTTTTCTTGTAGAAGTCTTAAATATTTTTATGTATCAGACTTATATTATTACATATCACGACTTATATTATTATATATGTATCAGACTTTTATTATTATATATCACGACTTGTATTATTGTATCACGACTAACATTGTAAACTAAAAAAAAAAAAAAAAAAAAAAAAAAAAAAAATATTTTGGCTAATGTCGGCTCAATATTTTGCTATAAAAATCTAACACCGTAGCTCTGTTAAGCCAATATTCGGCCAATGTAGTTGTGGATCTTGTAGTTGTGGATACATTTGTAAAACTTGTTAAATTTTGAACATTTTTAAAAAATGGTGTCGTTTTACAAATTAAAGAAAGGTTTTAATTCTACCTAAGCATTTTTTTTAATTATAAAAATAAACAAAATAGGCTGTATTGAATAATTTTCTAAGAATTTTAGAAGGTTACCTCATAAGAAGTCAACTTCCTGATGTTCTTGAGGCTTTTTTTTTTATTTTTTCGCCGTGGATAGCCTACCGAAAGTTGGTAGCAGAAAAATAAAAGTTATCCTACCGAAAGTTATTTTTCTAGGTTGAGAATATTACGTTTCAAAATAAATATTATTTTGTTATACCGTAAAATGAAGAAAATTTAACTTAAGATTTTTAAAAAACAAAAACGAAAAAAATATAAAAAACTAAATTTTCCATTAAATAAGTAGACTGCCAACCCACTCAGTTATTTTACAGATATTTTTTTTAAATACTTATTACTCTATGACATTTTAAATGTTGATTTATTAAACGATTTATTTAATGAAGAAGACATTTTTAAATGTCTTTTATATTTATAATTCAAACATACAGTAATAAGTATTGAAAAAAAATAAAATGTCTGTAAGATTATACACAAAAATAATTTGATTATTGACTTTATTATTACATTGATGAATCAGAATGTAGTAAAATGTTATTAGCACATTACTTAAATATTAATTAATATTTTATTATTTGAAAAAAAAAAAGCAGTGGATAGCCTACCGAAGGTCGGTAGCGGAAATATAAAATTCTCCTACCAAAAGTCTATTTTAATTGGTTTAAAAAGATCACGTCTAACAGTAAAGTAGTTAAATAATATCACATTTAAATTGCCAACGACAAGGACATGTAATGTATAGAAATGTTCATGCATTTACGAATTTAGGGAAAGACGCAGTGAAGTGTACATGTATTTAGCAATTTAGTTATAGGCGCAGAGGAGTGTATATGCGTCGACTGACTCTAATAGAAATGCGGAATGTACGTTCACAAACTAATTTAGGGAGGGGCGCATTGTAATGTACATACGGATAACCTTTCTTTAATGACAAACTTTGCCATTTAAAAATCCTTGAAAATTAAATCAATAAATTTCGAAAGCAAAGCTTCTTTAAGGTAAAACTAATCAAATTAGGTAATTTATTAAGCATATGCAAGAATTAGTGGAAATGATTACCTTGCTTGAATCTAAAATGGTTTTAATGATTGTTTTTCTAAAAGCCGTTACTACCGGCTTGTCGATTATTAAAAGGAAAAGACCCAATGACAGCGCACAGTGAGTCAAAGTCCATAAAAAAAGGCAAAAAAAAAACCCATAAAAAACTGTCTTGAAAGTTTTGGCCAGTATTTCTATGAAACTACAGCCCTTATACTCAAAAACTATTGCTGGTATATGATTTCCCCAACTGTTTATAAACTCTTGGAACATGGTGTACAGATATTTGAGGGATTAGTACTATAAATTGGTTACTACTCTTAAGAGTCACTAGAGGTTCAGAATAAGAAACTTTGCAAAGGTAAATTAAAACATACAGATATCTAGAAAGAATGTCATAAAAAACCAGTACCAATACCTCTTGATTAGAATTGATCCTAATTTATATTAAAAATATGTGGTATTTTTTTAATGGTATTTTTGATTAAGAAATCCGATTTTTTTTATTTGAATCAAATTTTTCCCGCGTAAATGACACACTCGTAAGCGCGCGATGTACGCGTAAAAAGTATTTTAAATAGCAAGTTTAAATTTTTTGACCAAAAATATGACAGTATTGATGTATCACATGTTTATATATGATAGTTATATAATTTTTGCCGGTTTTTCACCTTTCTGACTCACTCATTGGCTCGCGACGTTGAATGAGTTAATGGTGTAATGTTTTATTTCCGTTAAATAGTTAATTCAGCTGTATATTTTAAGGACTTTAAAGTGAAAAAATGAATTAAAAATAAAAAGAAAATTAAGTAAAACTAGAAAAATACAATAAAATTTTTTTTTTAATTATTTGATAGACTGTCTGCCCAAACCAAACCCTCGGTCGATGTTGCGAGTCAGGCTAGAAGATACGCTCCGTGCATGTTTTACAGTTAAAAAATAAAAATTTTATTTTAAATAAAGCTTTAAAATAGATAATTTAGAATTGGAGAGTTTTTTTTATTAATATTATTATCATAGCAATAATTGTCTTTGAAATGTAATGTTTTGGTTCGCAAAAAAGTTCGCATTTTACCGACAACCATTTTGGAACATTACCAAGCTTTCTAATACATTTTATTAAAGCTTTCTAATACATATTATTTTTTTATTAATCTTTCTAGACATTTTATTATAATAATGCATTATTATAATAATATTAACAATTGATTGAATTATGAGAATAATTTAATAAATTATCATTAAAAACAATTAAAATCAAAAAACTCAATTTAAATCATAATATTTATTTGTCCCATTTAAATCGTGTCAAGAACTTGGGTTTATGCAAAAAGAAACAATTTTTAAATGTCATAAACTCGGGAGTTTTTTGTTCATTTTTGGATTGATTATAAAAATAATTGTTTTAAGACTAGAGCATAGAAGGAAAAGATTTTTCTTTCAAAAAGAGCTTTTTCTTTCAAATTGAACCTTGTATTAAAGCAAAAAAAAAAAACTACATAAACCATTGTTCACTTACAGACTATTTAAGTTTTATTTTATTTAAACAAGTCAACATTTTATTTTAATTAAACATGTTCTGAAAGAAATCTTTGGAAATGCTCCGTAAATCTCAAAAACCTCTGGTTGACATGATTTTTCGTATAAAATTTTCGATCAATGGGTTGAATTTAAACGTTGCATCACTTATAAAATGGTTAAGAGTAAGATTATTGAATCTAACTCTAAAAATGTTGCAAAAAAGTCAAGTAAAATGCTTTTCTCGTTATGACAGCGGGGTAATGACTTCTTAAATAATAGAAAATCATTTGAAATAGTTGTTTTAATCAACAAAATATATTTTCTAACAAAACATACATACAAATGCAGTTAAAATTAATATAAATCCTTATTTTGTATCCAGGATTGTTTTATATCCATAACAACAATCCTAAAGCAAAACAATCTAAACTTATTTATATTTTGAATATTAAATTATCCTCTGACTGTGTTGATTTTCAGACCAAAAACCAAACAGCTCCAAACTACATTTTGTATGTTTTGGCTTGTGCAATAACTATGATATAAATCTAAAAAACAAAACAAAAAAAATATCTTGAAAATATAATTCCTGAAAAAACTTTAAATTTTAAAATGTGCAATTGAGTACTGGAACAAAAAAAAAACTTCAAGGATATGGTTGAAGAAAAAACTCCAAGATGATATAATATCATCAATTGTTTGGGAAACAAAATAATATCATTGACATTATTTCCAAATAATAGATGTAACTGTACTATAATTTACCTTATTAAATAGTGTTAAATATAGCACTCAATTTTATAAAAATGCCTATACAGTCGTTGTTTTGTAGTTTGCTCCAATTTAGAAAATAATAGTATGATTGTTAACTTCCTAAAATAATTAAAGTCTTCTTATAGAAGATTTAATATTTTAGGAAGTAATAAAAAAGAAATTCATAATTCAGGGTAATAATACCCACTCAAATTTAAAAAAAAATCCCAGCACTTATTACTTCATATAGACATGTTTTTCCAGGATCGTAACACTAAAACCCATACCTTTTTCCAGGATCAGTATTGAAAAAATACTTGAACTCCAGCATTAATGATATTTAAAAGCTATATAAAAATTGTCTTAAAAATAACTGTACTTATAGAAATGTAAGAATGTACTCTAAAACTAAATACTATATATCTAGATGCTAAATACAACTTAATTCAAAAAATAATTTAACAAATTAATAAAGCATTACCACTATGAATACCATACTCAACACATTGAGAACTATATATTCAGAAATAAAGACAACAATAAAACTCTTATGGAAGGCACAATCCATACAGAGTATTTTTTATTCCAGTTAAAACTAATAAATTACAAAATTTCTTAATAATCACATAATCAGAAATTTTTAAAGTAGGAGTAACAACTTAAGATAACAACTAGATAGACTAAAATAAAAGACCAAACCATTTGTTAATAAAAAATCAACTGCTTTTTATTTTTTTAAAGAGAATCTTACACATGTTGTATGACATATGTATGTATGTATACACAGTTACAACTCAATTACGGGATATTTCAAACTTTTATTATCTCAATATATTTATTGTGCAGTTTATTGTATGGTGCGATAACAAACTTTATAAAATTAAAACTTAGTAATTTACATTCTTAGTAAAGTTCAAATATTTAAAATCAGGTTTGAATTGCATATTCTGTGAATGTTTAATACTTGTAATAACCGAAAATAACCAAAAAGTACTTTTTTTTTAAGAATTGTTTTTCAATGAACTCAACCTCTTGTTTAGTTTCAAAACATTTTCTGTTTAAATCTTTCTTAACGTAACTCAGATGAATTTTTTGTCCTTAACTTTCATACACTTAATAATTTTGTTTAATATCATTAAAATATTTTGCAATTTTGCAACCTTGACTTTTTAATTTAACTTTTTGATGTCAGCTGTGATCCCATTTTGTTCCTGCTTTGTATTCTTTTTTTAGTGTTAAGGGTGGCACACAGCCCCAAAGCATCTTTTTTAACCCTTTTTTGACATTTTTCGACCCCACGTGTGCCATCCTTAAGCAATATTGAATTCCATTTTTTTTTCTATTTAAACTTTCACAATGACTAATATATAAAAAAAAAGTAAGCACTCTAACTGTATTTAATTTTTCTTAACGCAGCAAAACTTATAGAAAAATCAAAAAGTAGACAAAAAAAAAAAGATCCCTATTTTATGGATGGAGCAAACTTCAAACTTGGGTATATTTATACTTATATCAATATAGGATGCTTCAAAAAAAATGTAGCAGTTAGAGCTTGGGAACTACAAGAAACACAAAACTTGTGCCACCCAACCCCAGAAACGAGGGCAAAAAGTTACCGAAAAATATACTATTGCTATTCTAAACTAAACTTATAATTTAAAACAGATTTTAAACTTCATTTAATAATACTTTAGCATTCAAAAAATATGACTATGCAAAGTTTCCACCCTCCACAAAAAAAGGTGGTTGAAAACATATTGTCATAAGATAAATAACATAAAAAACAAAAGACTATATGAACCATATGAACTAATGAACCATTTCAAAAAAGCCAATACGTGTAACATGGGAGCCATGTTGCTTAAGAGCTAATGATTAACTTAAAAGTGTATTTGTTTTAAAGCCAGGCGCGGATGCAGCAACTTTTGATATTTGAGATACCTAACTTCCAGGCACGGAGCAAACTCCAAAAATTTATATGTTTATAGTTATATCAAATAAAGACGCTTTGCAAAAAATTGCAATGATTGGAGCCTGGGAACAAAAAAGCCCTAAAATTTTAGCTACACCTGCCCCAAACGTGAGAGCAACAAGTTGATAAAATATTTTTTCTACTATTCTCAACCAAGTATATATTCATCGACAAATTTTAAAACTCACCCAATAATCTCTTAGCGTTCAACAATTATGGCCTTATAAAGTTTGCAACCCCCTCAAATTGAGGGGAGTTCAAACCTTTTATGGTCATAGTTTTTGAACGCTAAAAGATTTTTGTGTTAATTTTAAAATTTGTCGATGAATATATATTTAGTTAAGAATAGTATAAAAATTATTTTATCAATTTGTTGCTCTCACGTTTGGGGCAGGTGTAGCTAAAATTTTAGGGCTTTTTTGTTCCCAGGCCCCAATCATTGCAATTTTTAGCAAAGCGTCTTTATTTGATATAAATATAAACATATAAATTTTTGGAGTTTGCTCCATGTCTGGAAGTTAGGTATCTCAAAAATCAAAAAATGCTGCATCCGCGCCTGAAAGCTGACACCAAAATGAAAATTTAAAGAATTTCAAAAGGACCGAAAATTTTAAGTTCAACTAAATAACTAATAACAGGGTGGAGAGCCAAAAGCGTATTCAAAACTTTAGGATAGTTCCAGGAAATTTTAAAATAACTTTGGGTTATTCATGGATATATTGATAAAATCTCAACAAAAAAAACAAATCAAAATGTGTTGATTTGGAAAAAAAATGAACATGAAAAAATAAACTAAATAATTAACAGATTTTATAAAAACAGACAGTAACATAAAAAGAAAATATCTTCTGCATTACAGAAAAAAAATTATTAATAAATTCAGTATAAAACTACTCAAATTTAATAAAAAAACTAAAAAAAAAAACAAGATCATAACAAAATCATGAAATATTTCAAAAAATATTTGCTAGATTTAAAAGAATTAGTGCTGTAAGGGGTGCTTTTCTACAGGAAATCCAGTATCTATCAAAATATAAACAGTTGGAGTTACATAAGAGCCAAAGCAAAAAATATAAGAGCCAAAAAAACATGACATAAGAGCCAAAGAGTAAACCTAGAAGCTGTATTTTTTTTGGTAATCATACAAAAATGATATTTTTAAGAAATTAATAAGGTGGTTTCCACCTTATTAATTTTAACAAGAGGTTAAACTAAATTACAAATAAAAGAGTGGCCAGCCTAAAGTTAATTGAAAATTTTATGATATTTTCAGGACTTTTCAAATGAAACTTAGGTTTTTTCAACAAAATGTTGATCTTCTCCTGACCAGAAAAACACAATATATGTTGATTTAAAAAAATAATAAAAAGAAAAATTATTATATAATATGTAATTGATAATAATACTGACATAAAACATAATAATACATAACATGAAACTATCTTGTTGTTCTTGTTCGATAAAAGAAAATACATAATTATAAAACTCTGTAATAATCAACTCAAAATGAATAATAAATCTCAAAGGACAAATAACATAAAAAAATAAAACTATATGAACCATATGAACTATTTCAAAAAAACGATATGTGTAACATAGGAGTTAAAAATAGGTTAATTAAGAGCTAATGAGTTACTTATAAGCTATATTTATTTTAATGCTGACACCAAAATAAAAATTTAAAGAATTTCAGAAGGACTTATAAATTTAAAGTTCAACTAAATAACTAATAACAGGGTGGTAAGCCAAAAGTGTATTAAAAACAATAGAATAGTTCCAGGACAATTCAAAAATAACATTGGTTATTCATGGAGATATTGATAAATTCTCAACAAAAAAATATAACAAAATGTGTTAATATGAAAAAAATATGAAAATGAAAAAAAAAGAAAATAATTAACAAATTTAAAAAAAACTCACAGTAACATGAAGTGAAAAAATCTTCTGCATTACAGAAAGTACATTTTTATTAAATTCAGTATAAATCTATTTAAATTTAATATAAAAATCTTTAAAAAAAAAAAAATCATAACAAAATAATGAAATAGTTAAAAAAAAATTGCAGGATTTAAAAGAATTAGTGCTGAAAAAAATAATAAATTATATAAACCATATGAACTAATGAACTATTTCAAAAAAGCCAATACGTATATCATGGGAGCCAAAAATAGGTTACTTAAGAGCTAATGAGTTACTTATGAGCTGTACTTGTTTTAATTCCGACACCAAAAAAAAAAATTTTAAAGAATTTTATTAGAACTTATAAATTTTAAGTTCATCTAAATAACTAATAATTGAGTGGCTACCCAAAAGCTAATTTAAATAAGTAACCTATTTTTTGCCCCCATGTTACAGGTTTTGGCTTTTTTTAAATAGTTTATTAGTTCATATGGTTTATTTATTTATATATATATATATATATATATATATATATATATATATATATATATATATATATATATATATATTTGTTTTTTTTTTATCCTTTGCTTTGTTTTTATTAATTTTGAATAGATTTTTACTGTTTTTTATTTTTATGTATTTTCTGTTATCGAACAAGAACATTATGAGTTTATGTTATGTATTATTATGTTTTATGTCAGTATTTATATCAATTACATATTATTTAATAATTTTTCTATTTATTATTTTTTTAATTCAACCTATTTTGTTTTTATCTGGTTAGAGAAAGTTCAACATTTTTTGAAAAAACTTGAGTTTAATGTGAAAAGTCCCTTAAAATATCATGGATTTTTGAATTCACTTTAGGCTGGCCACCCTGTTATTTGTAAGTTAGTTTAACCCTAATTAAAATTCATAACG